ATTCCAACAGTCCACCTTTTTGTCGTAAAGTTCGCCTTTAAAGTCCGTGATATCGCGATCATCAAGGTTCGGTATGATTTTAAAAGTGTATTTCACACCAAACGGCCCTAACTTGCGACCTCGTTGACCCTCAGATACTTAGCCGTGGAAAAGCGACCGGCATCTATGTCATAGACTCTCTCAAACCCAACGCGCAGAGCGAGAGTCTCAGCTATCCGATTTAAAGTTCATCCTGGTCTCTTCTTCACTGTTCCACCTCTGTTAACAGTAGATCACCAAGTTATCGTAATCACTGCCTTTAAACCCATCTTCTTCTACGAGATCTTATTATCTGTGCATCGGAGTGAAATGTAAACTTTTTGTCAATATTTCAAATTATTCCAGAAGCCACACTTCCTTTCTTGATCAGTGAGCCGAAAGACTATTGGGAAACAAGTGAAGAATACCTGTATCATATGGTGACTCTCCCACCATTTTGAAGAACTGTTCAGCCGTCTTCAAGTGATCTTTCTGGAAATTGCAGCTATACAGAGGCTGCATAACAACACTGAAAGCATCAATGAAGTACAGAACTCACGGACTCCTTCAGTTGGCCCCAGCTAGCGAACACCACTGCTTTCACGAGGAATTCTGTAGTTGACTGCGGTTCCAGGTCGTTACACAATGTCATGGCGCTCTCTATATCTTCTGAAATAGATACCAGTTGTCTATCGCATCTGGAATTGAGTTGGGTTCGTAATGTGAGAAAGCTCTGAAACGATACTCTGTTCATAACACCATGAAACCACCTTTCCCAAAAAACCAGAAGTGCGTGGCGCATCCCAGAACGAATTCATCAACGCAGAAAGCTTAATCTTTCATTTCCTGGCAACGAATTAGCCCCTCCAGCGAGAGATTCACAATAAATACTGCCATCGCTATCGTGATCCGAATGTGAGTCACGCGTTGCAACAGCGTGTGACACCGTGATCCATGTATGTATCACACCATTAGAAAGTTCAATTCTGCTTTTTCATCTTCTTTGCATGCTCCAACGTATGTAAATAAAAGGAATACCTTGGAGGAAATACAAAGCTCTTTGAGAAGATACGATCTGTGCTCTCACTCAAAACTTCAGAACAATAATCGGCGCAATGTGCCTCCGGGGGGGGGGGGCAGTCTGTCGGAAGGTCACTAGGACCAAGCCTAACCCAGAGAGACGAATGAAAATTAGTTCGCAGCTCGGATTCCCTCTTCTCCATCAAAGCTTAGTCCCAAAACTGAGCAAATTTCGTGAATCTGACGCCAAGTTTCCGGCTGTCCCCTGGAGCCACATTGCGCCCTGTAATCTTATCGCATACCTCTTTTCAAATGATAGAGTATTAGATTTACTCTTGCCTCCGGTAATGTGTCCATCAAACCCGGAAACACCTGCATTGCTCCATCGCCGTCGCGGAACACCACCTCAACCAATTTTTTTACTTAGATAAAGAGAGAGCTTGTTAAGGGATATCGTCAAATTCAAAGAGTACCTGATTGTGGCGAAGAAGCTCACGCGCAGCCGGATATAAGTTGCCTCGCTGCAATGCTTCGACCTCCGGCTAAACAAGAACAAATTTCCTGAGGTGTAAGAAAGGTGCTGTTTTGTAGCTTTTCAACTGTCTTTTGTATTAGTTTCCTGTCGTTTTGACTTCCCATGTGTTACGTGTGAACCTCCCTCGCCGGAAAGATTTGCTTAACAACATCTATCTGCAAAAACGTATTGAACTCAGGCCGACTATACTCTCCCAGCCGGCATCCTCTGTGCGTGGATTACTCACAGCTATTATGGCTGAAAAAAAATCGCACCTCCTGAGTGAAGGCATATTTGGCTATTGGATTCTAAGACCCTGAAATAGAGCCAGTGGAGGCGATGTGGCAAGAGCCCTACGTCTCGCGATGGACCTCCAAAGTGTCTCTCAAGAGATAAAAGTCCAAAGTCGGTTGGCCAGTTACACTGAGTGACGAGTGTCTTCTGGAGATGTTTGTAACAGTCTGTGGTTTAGCGGTAGCTGACACAGCTTTTCCACAGTTATCAGAACACAATGGCCATTCCTCAACAGCTTCTCAAAAAGAAAAGAAATTATGGAAAAAGGGGATTCCTTTGACATCCGCTTTCAGAAGCCTCGTAATTTGCATCAACATTTGATTCACCGCTTGTATAAACTGTTTGACCCGATAAAAAACTTTGTTACGAGTAGCAAGCAGTGGGTTCCTCTAGTACCACCACACTCCGCGAGCCCACGGCCAACCCGATAAGCCAAAATTGCGCCACTTCCCATTCCAGTCCGCCCAATTGACAGCAACTTTCAAGCCCAGTTGGTAAAGCTGCAAGACGATCCTCCTTTGCCGACAGCTCCTACTCAACGCACTCACTGCGCTGTTGTAGCTTCATACCATGTACGCAAGCATAAATGGCATCTCCAACTATTGCCTAGAAAGCTCTTACAACGCAAAGATCTTCCCTCCGATCACGTCGCTCAAAGATTTGAAGAGGCTCCCAGCCAAAAGTCTCCAAATCCCTCATGGATACCTCTTTCTCCCCATTTAGTGTTCAGCCCGAACTACGCCCCAACAAATACCACTGCTTCCTCGTTTGCTCTGGTTTCAACTAAACACGAGTGAAAGCTTATGTTACTCGGACTACTCCGAAAATGAACTTCAGTTCAGTTTTTTGTCTTGAAATCAAAGGAATTCGAGCCAACCGGACCCACAACATCTGCTGAAAACGCAATTTTCACGTTTACGATGGCATATAACTCCAATTGCTGCTGGTTAAGCCCAGATGCGGATAACTGAAAAAATCGAAAAATGGCAAAGACTTTCAGACAACCTGATATTCCCAATTCGATACTCGTACCCCAAACCCCGCGATTTAGGACTCAATTATGACTGGATTTAGCGGCAATTTTTATCATACGAAAAGTTTAAAAGAGAGCATGACAAACCGAACCAGTGCAGCTTTTCTCAATTGTCAGTCTCTGAACAAGTTGACTTGGCAGGCCTTTCAGCATTAAACCGCTGACGGTCGAAATCACGTTCGAAAGTATACACCACTCAAGCACGCTTCCTAAATACATGTGCTTGAACATTTCACAAGACTGCTAGGTTATACAATTGCGGGACATTCAAACCCGTATCTCCGCCCATACCGCGCAATTGCGCTTCAAATTATCGCTACCGACACCCGCTCTCCCTCCACACTATAGCAATTCGAAAATTCTGAAAATTTCATCACACCCAGCAATTCCTCCAAAATAAAAGCGGTATAGCTCGAAACTGGAGGAGCCTATAATTACTCAGAACCAGCTAGTCTTGAGTACTTGCTCTCTATGGCGGACTTTCACTTGTTTTCCCTTTGGTTCATTACTGTTAAATATTACTCATGTAACGACGACATTCTAAATCGTCCACATGGAAGAAGGTAGTGAAATGTTTGAAAGCGCGTTTGGATTGATTGAAAGCAGCGAAACGAAGTGTCCTCCTTTTCAAGCTTCTACTGATAGAAGCAAGATCATCCGTTAGAAATAGAGTGCCTCAAGTTCAACGTCGAGTCATTAATTCATTCAATATCAGAAGTAGGCGTTTGAACTCTTCCACAATTCCGCATGAAAGTTGTGTGCTTGTTGCATTCCATTAAATTGCCGCATATCACGTTGTCCGGTTTTAGAAACGCCTTTTTTCAACGAAACCACTTCCAGGTACCGGCTCACTTCCAGACAGGGGTTACTTTTGTCGCTGAGGAGCGAAAAAAAATCCGGATAGATATAGCGTTTATACTTAAAATCCCAGCAACGGTTTGCCTGTGCCACGAGAAAAGACTAGAATGCACAAGAAGTACGCCTTCTGAAGCAATCTCCGAAGGAGGAGCTCAGACGAGAGGGTGGCAAGTCTCGGATTCACCCGTGTTATCATCATTCCAGTTACGAATGTTATTGTTCAAGAATTAACCTGAGCTACATCGAAGTAATCCATTTTGTAGTAGCACATTGCCATGTAGACGTTGAGAGCGATCATATTCCTAAACCAAACTTCATAAAGAAATATGTCTGCATCCTGCCGACAGCGATGGCCATATGAGGTACCAGCAGCTCACCTCTTTTTCTGCTGGGAATTGCCCATGCACAGTGGAGTTCCCCCTCCCCCTCCCCGCCTAAGGCTTAGTCCTAATTCCAACAAAAGGAGATGTCGTACGCGATTTCAAGTGCATTGTCACCCACAATGCCCCCGTACTTCGCGATAACGCCGGACCACATATAAGGGGGCAAAAAAGAGTCACTTTGCCCATGGCGCATATCATCAAACTTTTTGTCGCAAAGGATGCCGCTGTTATTGGGAGTTATACGGCGAAATATTCCAGATGTCCCCCCTTGAGCAGAAGTTTCAGAGACGTCGTAATCGTCTATGGTTTCTCGACGACCTCGTTGAGCTCGTACCGTGCACCATGTTTCCGTGGGAAAATCTTCTGATGTCGTCGGTGTAGAAAGCCCCTATGTAATTTTTTGATAGAATAGAATGTGCTCTTCAATATGCAATTGAGCTCATTCGGTTTGGTTTGGCAAAGTGTAATTAATTCTGTTTTGAATGTGAATGAAAGTGACTTTTTTGTCCCCCTGTAGATGCCCCTTTTCTTTGTCAAAAAGCTCCTATGGTCTCGAATATCATCCTTACAATTGCAACCCAGCCAAAACTGCACCAGTCAGTTGTCCCAAGCAGAGAAAATGTTTGCTTATAAAAAGGCCGTAGCCCGACTTTATGGAACTACAAACTCACGTATGCTCTTGCAGAATAGTTTTGTAAATTTCGATAGCTTCCATGTAATGCATTCGCATATAAGTGAATGGACGCAAGGGAGAGCTGATCCTCCATTGTATTCTGAATGCACTCAATTTTGCAGTGAAGGCTTTGTGGGAAAGACCTTTACATAATGAATTGCGATTTGAGTTTCGTTCTTCGGAAATTTTGAAATTTCTAGAAATTCTTAGTGTAACAGGGATCAGTGATTTCTCTTCTCCTGTTGCAAAGAACATTGCCTACGGTCCGATCCGTCGTCATATGTTCACTGAATGCCTTGATTTGCATGGCCGTTATGTGACAAAAGTAGAATGAGAAAATGTATGGAATGCTTGATCCTCTGTGGACTACTGATGCACCATGAGCATGGCGCTATCACTCGAAAAATCCCACTTTTTTATCTTGTTTACCACTTCTCATGTCTAACTAATACTATCGTGATTTCTCCGACTCGAGAGCATTAATATATCAGGTGTGCGAAAAAGAAACACTGTGGTCGATGATCGCAGAGCTTTGCTTTAGCTAGGAGCTTTTAAATTTGGCCACAGTTACGAGTGGCCTAATAGGGAGTTTTGTCGGCAAAACAACGTCTGGAATGTCTCACTCCAGATGCCGCCAAGAGATGCGATATGCGGTTCTTTGCGCTTACTGCTCTCCCTTATCGCTGCATGAAGGTAATAAAAACGACAACGGGGCCTGCGCCACCACACGGTTCTGGTCAAAGAAAGGCTACCGTGGACGCACTGTCAGCTGCTTAACCAGGCATACACAATTCCCAATCGGACAAAGAGATTGGGAGAGGCTCCCAAGAGGAAGAGATAGGGAGAAGTTAGCTCCTAATCTATTGCGAAGACCTCTTGGCTGACCAGTTGACGGTTTTCAGGATGTACGATCGTTTCACGGTCGGCCGATGCCAATTTGAGAGACCACGGTGACAACGCGTGACAATGGTGCCCATCATTCTGCTTCTCGTGAGCAGGACTTCAAGTCTGGATGTCGAACCGGCGGAGGAAAGGCTATGACAATGCGGCTGTGACGAGAGTAATTTTATAAGACTGGAAGTCAATGGGAAACCTGAACGAAGCAGCAAAGCCAATCAAGCGAGAGACCGCGAGGCTGCCCAAAGAAGAGGTCGGAAGGAGTATTATAATCAAGCAAGGATCTTAAGTGAAAGTCACGGGGCCACGCAGGCCAAAAAAAGACGTTCCCTTCGAGGGCAAAGTTGGATGTCGACTGAGTAAGGACAGCGAATCGCCTACGAACTTGCGCGGATACTATACCGCAGCCGGAAAAGAAGAAGAAAATTTTAGTAGATGGGAGTGTGCTCTTCACTCTCACTCAGGAAAGGTCACTTATTGGCACACCGTCGGGGCCAATATTGAGAATGAGATGTAGCTATGTCTTACTGCGCCTTGGGAACATTTAGGCCGTGTGCAGGAGAAGTTATGTGTTCCTACATCTGACTTAACGCTTGCTTTAAGGGTTTATGAAGCAAGAGCGCAGGGGCTGATGAGTCTGTAGTGCGTCACAAAAAAATGGAGGTCATGCGGGATCGACTTCCTGGCCGAGCCACTTCCGCTAGAGTGCTGAAGATATACAGCTTTGGCACAGCTTTACCTCAGTCCTTGGAAAGTGATAAAATTGAAACAATTGAAACAACGCCTCCCTGGCCAAGAGTTTTGCTCATATCCACTATCCCCATTATTATTCGAACAGCGAACTGCGGCAAAAACAGCAACTAAAATTAGAAGTCAAGTCAGCAGCTCAA